CATGGAGGAAAACAGAGCATGAACGCCTTGGGAGGACAATCCACGGACAGGGAAGAAACAAACCGACACAGAACGTATAGGGAAACTAACGACAGATTAATCACCAACACCTGGGGAAGGACACTGAGGAACAGGGGCTGGAGCTGATTACATGGGGAAACTCAGTAGGAAGGCTGAGCAGAATGACACAAGAAAGCACCAATAAAACAGATCCTCTCAAAGACGTCAATGCTTTCCCTCAAATATAAATTATTTAATAATAAATAAAAGCAAAAATTAAATAAAAATTAGTCATTTTGCCAATGTCACAGAGCCAATCATCATGATGCATAAAGCCTATACATTATTTGAGTTTCTACTTCCACACATTTACTGTGGTTAAACAATCTCTTTTTTTCTTTTATACCCAAGCTGGGATATATAAGGAATTATACCGTGAGTATAACATGTTTTACTCTCCTGCTTGTTTGTCCTGAAGTCAGTTATTCATCCAAACATAACCATTTATAATGCACTACCTAAGGAGACACTTGACGTATGTCTTGAGTTGATAATTTCATTTTACCCAACACGTTTTTTACCCCCAAAGCATTTCAGTCAAACTGAATGTACTGTGCTGTTGTTAAGAATGGATACTTCATCTTATACCTCAAGATTTCCACTAATTGACTTTTTTGATGAGTTTGCAGTGAAAATGAAATGCAGAAAGACAACCATTTAGCCAGCTCCGGTGAAGACTTTAAATTTCTTTGGGAACTTTTGACATGCAGAAGTTCGGCTCAGATCAAAACATGCTTTTGCGAACTAGTTTTATTTTGATGCCTGTGCTCCAGAGGAGGTCAAATACAGATTGCATTGTTCTATTTGAGTCTTCCAGTTGATGAGACAGCTCCGTATCACCGTGGTTCAGTCAGGGAGGCTGTAAACATTACATCAAATAAAAACCCCATGTGCCGACGGCTCCTTGCCGTGAATCTAGAGGCTTCGTCTAAAAGTAAACTGAAATAAAAAGCAGTTCGAGTAATCATTTTATATAAAAGTGGGAATAATACATCATTTAAAAAAATAATGCAAGACCTGAATAGTCTTCTGTTTATTGTGGTGCATATTTTTATATTGTTCAAGTCAATTGTGACGTTTGTTTAGGTCTAATTCTTTCAAAAACCTGTTGACTTTTTAAAGTTATGATTTATTAGACTGCATGAGCAAATAAATACTTGATTTAATAGAAATCAACACAAGCTTCTTAGTTTAACAATACTTTTTTTTATTGTTTTCCAAAATAATAAGGGCATATGAACCATTTACTCATGAATAGGGATGCACAATATCGATATTAGCCTATATTAACGATGAAGTTAAATATCAGACATCAGAATAACTCATCAATATAAAAGTCTTCTGTTTTAAGTTAATTTTTAATTTAAGAATCTGTCAATTACCAGTATATCTATTAATGCACTACTACTTAGCCTATGTACTTTTCATTTGTCGCTTGTGACCAGATTGAGTTTAGATTTGTGAAATTTTACAAATTTGCACTGTTCAAGTGTTGTCATTGTGTTAGATAGATTAAATGTCATGAATAAATTTAACATTAAATATAATCCAAGTTGAAATGTTACATCATTTTCAGCCCCCTTTTTGGCATCTGCATTTGGTAGCAGGTCAAACTGACAAAGACCATGCAGAGTACAGTAGTCCCTCGCTACTTCATGGTTTGTTTATCGCGGATTCGCTCTATTGCCGTTTTTCAAAATAAGATTGGACATGACACACAAATGGCTGACCGAAGGATGAGCCGCTCGATCGTCATGAGATTTTTATTTAAAATAAATTATTTTAAATTATTTATCACCTCCTGCGCCTCAGTGCATCCCTTACTTTAGGATAAACTTCCTCCTGCAGCTGAACAGCTGATCAGCTGATCTGCATGCAGAGCAGAGAAGTGGGCATGGCCGAGAGCGCTTGCAAGTAGTTGAGAACAGCGGAGGCACCGAGAGGGAAATCATGACATTCTGTACTCTTAGAGCCTTTAGAGTTTGGAAACGTTTAGAATATTGCAAGAGTGTGGGAAGGGTTTAAAATGCCTTTATATATATATATATATATCTCTTTCGTAATTACGGAGGACGTATTTACGCATCCCGTATTTACGTCCCTCGTATATATATATGCATTTATTTATGTAAATATAAGTACTAAAATAAACTACTACTTACTACTTGCTCTACTATTCCTACTTAGTGGTTTTTCACTTATCACGGGTCTTCAGGGTACGGCTCCACCGCAATAAACAAGGGACTACTGTAATGTAGCTTTTTAATTCCACAGCAGAGAAAGCTATGTAGTCTCTGTAAGTAGGTCTAGAGGGAAAAAAAAAATCGGCATTTGTATCGGTTATCGGCCAAATAAGTTAACATTTGTATATTGGATATCGGCCAAAAATCCAATATTGTGCGTCCCTAGTCATAAACGTGCTAAATATTGACTTATAGATGAGTAAAATTGATTTAAGTGTACAGTATTACACCTTTATTGCTAAATATTTCCTGCTTGAGTTTTTATCATTTAAATACCAGTAACTAAAACAGCATGTTTGTACAAAAACAGCCACCATTATCTCACTCTTAGTTCATGTAAATGTTATTTGCAGTCAGTATCTTCCATCCATCAGCAGAATGCACATGTTCGAACATCACAAAAAGAAAAAGGCCTCGTCTGCCTCCGTGGCTCAGGTTCCATATTTTGTCTGGCTCTCTCACATTTATGCAGCCCATTTGTGTAATCGATACCCGTATGTTTCTTTTCGCGCACCCACAAGGTTGGACATGACAACACAGCCTGTGGGCCTTTCTCCCCCCCCCAGCTGAAAAATAAAAAGTATCTCATGTCTGTTGAGGAGGAGAGATGTGGGGAGGAGATGGGGTTAGGGGGTTTGTGTTGCATGAAAATATTCTCAGCTGCTTCATTCATGAAACCCAACCTCCATCTTTGGTGACTACGGCTTCAACTTTCTCACATTGCTGCAGAGCTCCACTTTATCTTGAGCTTGTTTGTGCATAAATGATTGATATTTCAAACTAACCACTTATGATTCTACTTACTGTTCAACCCTCCTGCTGCCCTTGGGTCAAATTGACTCTAGAGGCCTCGTTGTTAAGCCTGAGCATCTCTCAGCATCTGAGCTGTCGTATATTTGCAGAAACCTTCATGGTTCTCTCATTTATCTTACACCCACACACGTGTCAATAAATGTGCATGCTCGTTGGACACGGCGGCCAGATTAAGTCAGGTAATTAGTAGTGATGAATTATCCTCTGTGATGCTCGGAAACAGAACGACGCAGGTTAGCTCTGCTTCAAACTTTGTGTTATTTGCACATGAAACGTAAAAACGAATGCTCATCTGTCTTAAACAAAATCTTTCATTTTAAAAGGGTTGTAAAAAATATTTGGCTGTAAGCTTGAATTTTTCAGTGTGACTGAACCATTGACAGCCTGTTGATTGAAACTCTCAGGAAGTAGTCTTTGGATCTATATCTGTAAAATGAGTAGGGCACAAATGGAGTTGAAAAGCTGAACCAAATTATGTGGCAGTGGATATGGCTCACGTGTTATATCTGTTAAACCTGCTTTTTTTAAAGTTTCCATGACTTTTGGTCCTGTTGTCAACTGTGGGAATGGCTGTGTTGGGGTCCAAACCGTTGGATGCACTAGCTCTGATTTTCAACCATTGGATGCAGATGCAAATCGTTCACATTATAAAACACTTAGTAATTTGCCTTTTCTGAGTGAGGTAGAAACTTCAGCATCGTTAGCTCGATTCTCTGATGCTTACAGGGCAGTCAGTAACTGCAACCACTGGTTTCCAATGCAGAAGGTGCAGTTTTACTGTCCTGGCTTTGTTTTTCTATACATGGTTAACGTGTCCTAAGATTAAACTTTTGTAAGAAGATTTTGTGAATGGCTGCCAACTACCACATGTTTTTTACCCACCAAAAACAGCCAAAGAGACTGAAAATAGATCAGCGATGGTGGTGTCCATAGAGGAGCCATTTGGGATCACGTAAACTCATCGGACTAGCAGAAGTTTTGCTAAATCTAGGCGTGTTTGTTTGTTTCACCGTCTAGTTTGATCCTCGATATTTATTCTTGACAGTTGTCTTAAACGGTTTGACTCTTTTCTTTCGCATTCAGCAGCAGATAAACTCTTAAATTTCCACCTAAACATTCTCTAGAGTAATGGTTCCCAACCCTGGTCATTGAGGAACACCATTCTGCATGTTTTAATTGTTTCCCTGTGTTGACATACCTGATTTGAAAGAATGGGTGCTGAACAGGCTTCGGCAGAATTTGATGAAATAATCACTGAATCGGGTGTGTTGGAGCCGAGAAACAACTAAAACATGCAGGATGGCGTTCCTCAAAGACCAGTGTTAGAAACCACTGCTCTGCGTTTGTTCGATTCCACCCTATTACAGTGGTTCACCTCCACATACTACAGCCAGCCTAATGTAGATCAATCATGTGACTTGAACTTTGAGGTGGTTTTCATTAGATCCAGACAAGTGTTTTGTTTACAGAGAGTGCACACCTTTCATATCAGTATATCTGAAAAAACTTCCAACTGCAACCGTTCGCTGTCGATCAGGGTAACCTTTTTATGTTTTACTGTATAATTTGTAATGAGTACTTTTAAATGTTTCAGCAAAGCGAAAAGAGTTGGCCTCTCTGCTCAGTTATTTTTGTTGATTTAGCGTTGAATGCATTGCTGCAACATCAACTGTGATGAAATATTGTTTGTTGCAGTTGCAACAGCTCCAGGGTCTCGCGTCTCCCTGCAGTCCAGTTTTAGTTTTTCAGTGTTTGGATCGGTTTGTTCTCTTGATGACAACAACTTTGGCCTCTCATGGTGACTTATTTAACACATTAAAGTAAAGTTGGAAGCAGTGAGGGGACTCCTAATTGTGTAACTAGGGTTGTTTTTTTTTCCACACCATGAAATCCTTCCCCTCCCCTCAGAGAGCCCAGACCTCCATCAGCATCTTTTCCCGTGAGCTCGCTCCAGGCGCGAGGGGGCAGAGCGTCGCTTCATGTCGGCCCAGAAATGTCACATCACCTTCACCACGCGCACACATCTGCTCCTTTCACACACAGCCTCTCTGCTCCTCAGCCCTCCGCAGTTTACTTTGCACCCTCATCAGGGAGGAGAGTGTACGAGAGGCGAGGACACTTCCTGTATTAGTGCGGCTGCTTGTGTAGGTTTGGTGTGCGTGATGGAGCGTGTAAAGCTCGTTGTAGCTGAGGCTCACTGGTGCTCGGGGAGCCTCCGGGCTTTCCTTACTCTGCTTCAGGGCACAGGGAGGAAGGTGATTATCTCATAGCTGCCAGCCATTCAGCTCAAATAAAGACTAAAGTAGATCCAACTAACAAGACGTCTGTAAAAGTAAACACAAACTTCCACGCCGTTGTGTTATTTCTGCAACTTGTTCTGCAAGTAAAGTGAGGAAAAAAATTAATTAAAGCCAATTTTTAGTTGGCTAATGTCAGTTGTGGTGGCCATTTTGAATTGGGTAGTAGATGTTCATCTAATGGTTTCATTCAATCATAACAAAGAGTTTCATCACTTTGTTACGAGCAAAAACATTGTTGCCTTTTGCCTTTGGCGGCGGGTGACAAAAATAATCAATGTCGAACAATAAAACGTCCATTCTAAAACCTCCGTAGAACCAAATGGATCCTAGCCAGTGGTGTAGTCTACATTTTTGTAGTAGGTACTCTGTGCTTAGAAACCAAAGTACACTGGTTAGTAATCATCAATTTATTTTGATTTTTAAGCATATTGAACATTTCCAAATTTCTCTGATGCTTATATTTGAATAAATGAACAACAAACTTTGTACAACAGTTGGCTTTGTATTAAAAACATTTTATAGTATTTATATAACTGTATCAAAGCAAAGCGCTGCATACTGATAGATTGTTACGGAAGCATTTAACTTCCGTTTAACGTATCAATGTCACATGCCTAATGATATGTCATGTATCATTGGGTACTTTTAAGTGGGTATACTGAAATTTTTAAGCTTTTCTAGTGGGTATACTCCGTATGTCCGAGTATCACATAGACTACACCACTGATCCTAACTAATGAGAAAGATTCAAAGAATTTTAGTGTTCAAAGGTTTATTTTCTCGTGTATAATCTGCGCACTGCCAGGTCTGCGCTGTTAGTGTGTGCGCTGAACAGTGCGTCGACTGCGTTGGTTTATGGATTCTGGAAAACCCTCCCCATGAGCGCCTTCCTTTAGGGAGGAGCAGCTCTTTTTGTTTTTGGCAGGTGACGAGTTCGCACACCTGGACGGTTTTTCGTGCCCAGATGGAAACGAGCGCGATGACAGCTGGCGTGATGTCCCCTCAGGACAATGGCGTCGCCAGGAGGGAGTCAGGCGGACGATGTCTTGCTCTATCGGTCTATCTGTCTATTTATCTATCTGTCTGTCTGTGTATCCGTTTATCTGCCTGTGTGTGGCTCTCTGTGTCGCCTCGTGCCTCATTCCCGGTGCCAACACCTCATTAGTACAATATGCAAACGAGCTGGATCGAGGCCAGAGGGTCAGAGCACAAACTGGAGGCAGGATAACAGCACAATGGAGCATCTTTCTTTGTGCGGGTGTTAATCCGCATTTAGCTCTTTTGCCTCTTTGGAGACGTTTTGCACGTTTGTGGGTCAGCTGACGGTCTCTAAATAACAAACACTCCTACAATCCCTGGTCAAGGTTTTCTGTCGTATTTTTTTTTGTTGTATTTTTTTTATTTCCATGAGAGTTTACCTGGAGGGGAAACAGGCAGATGAAATTACCCTGACAAATCAAAGTTTTCAGGGAGCTGTTTAAAGGGAACATAATATGAAAGAGATCTGCTCAGACCAGTGGTTCACCTTTCAGATGAAATAATCCTCCTTCAGAGCTGCAGAAAGAAATACATTAGAACTTTTAGTGCAACTTATACTAATGTTATTAAACCATTTTAGTTTTTGGTAGCAATACATAATACAGCTTGGTCTGTACCAATTATTTACCTGTTACTTACTTGGCACTTACCGGTACATAGCCTTTATGTACAGGGTAACAAAGCACTTTATATTACAAAATAATACATACCGGTATGTGGTATGTATTGGAACTTAATAGGTATCTACTTGACACTTTCCTTAACTGACATGTACCATTTACTCTCCTGGTACATACATTGTATATGATGGGTACTTATTGGGACTGTACCTGCTACTTATCTGGTACTTACCTGATAAGTATCTGATACCTACTGGGAACATGTCTGATACTTACGTAGTATGCACCGTTGTATCTGTCGGGTACTTACCAGAATTGTACCTGGCACTTACTTCGTGCTTACTTAGTATTTACTGGTGACCTACCTGGTACTTACCTGGTAAATTCCTGATACTTACTTGTAATGTGCCTGGAATTTACTATTTGCTTATCTGGTACTTACCTTGTACATACCAGGAACATAACTGGCACTTTCTGGGAACATACCTGGGACATCTACTCTCCTGGTACATACAAGGTATATGCTGACTACTTACTGGAACTGTACCTGCTGCTTACTTGGTACTTACTGGGCACATACATGATACCAGGATTGTGGCTAGCACTTGCAGCATAAATACCTGTTACTGCCATGTACTTACATGGTATGTACCTGGCACTGGTGACATACCATGTACTTACCTGCTAAGTTTCTGATATTTAATAGGAGTATACCCAGAACTTACTATTTGCTTACCTAGTATTTAATAGGACCTAACTAGTATTTACCTAAGTATGCATTATTTACTGTTCTGGTACATACATGGTACATACCTGGTGCTTTCTTGGTACTTTCTTGGTACACACCTAGTAAATTCCTGATAATTAGTAGGATTGTACCTTGTATCTACCTTGTACTTATCAGATGCAAATATGTAACAGACATATGTACCCTGTAAGTACAGCACAACAAGATGCTTCATATTACAAAGCAGTCTTCATAGGTAAAACGTAAGTACACAGTACTACCTGATTTTTACTGGGCTGTTTTATGTGATGCTGCCAGTTTTTCTAATATAAATAGTTTTAATTTACCTTGACTCCATTTAAAAATCGCTTGACTAAAAACCAAAAGTTTGCAGCCACTTCATCGTGCACGTGCATGTCTTCACACACACACATACACACACACTCCCTCAGTTTCAGTCTGGTGATTGTTTTGGCCACAGATCAACGACCCACACACCCATTTAAAGTCACCATTTCTGTTCCTTTTCTTTTGCTCTTTGTTGTTTTTCATCTCTCAGTTTATTTTGTTGTCTCTGTTTATTTCGTCCATCCTTAAAAAGAGGCCGTTATTTCTCCTCCCCCAGGCGAGAGACGACGACGGCCTCGGTGGGAAATTCCCCCGGCACATCTTTACTCAGGACACACCCAGGCTTGTCTTCAAGACAAACAGCGATGTGCTTGTAAGGACCATTTAACACCAGACAAGAGGCTCGTTTATGCTGTTTAAAACTGTGATTTTTGATGATTTTCTTTCTAAAATGTGACCAATAACTGATGTTACACGTGAAAACAACAGACTCATAAAGTCTGAGTGTAAGTTTAAGATTTTCATTACTTTTTTCATGTTTATTTGTTCATTCTCATCACATCTCATGTTCAGCGTCTTTAATTAGTGACACAACAACATTTGTTTTTATTAACTTTATTTGACTGGATTTATAAAACTGTGAAATGCTGATGCTGTTGAACATGAATTAGTGAGAAACATATTTAGAGTATAAAACAGGAAGTATTTATCATAAATAAGAGTCTTAGAGTTTATTTCAAATGTTTTACTGTTTTAGCTTCATTATTAATAGAACAATAAGACATACGAGTCTGTCATCTGTGAAGTTTATACTTTGTACATTTCCAAACAGTTTGGAAAATAAAATGTATTTAAAATTAAACCTGGATGTTTGAACCTTGTAGGGATTGTTGGTCCAGTTAAATCCCGGTGAAAGCTATTATAACAGTTAGAAAAGCTGAGTTTAACTAAAGAAACACTTGTCTAAAGTGTACTGTCTGAAGAAAAACAAAAATAACTGATACTGAAATAATTATCCTGAGACTTGAGTTATATGGTGAAGAAATGTCACGAGGAAGTCACTCATGTGTCTTTAAATCTTAACAAACTAAAATATTTAGACTCTAATAGTCACTCAATTATCAAAATTAGAAGTATCACCATTAATTAATCACAGCATAATGACTTGTGAAGGCTTATTCCAAGATGATTTTTTTAGTTGTTATTAAATTAAAGCCATCTTTCTGCCCTTGCTGATGATACTTGTTCTTTAAATGTGAAATAGTTTGAATCTGAATTTATTTCTTATTAGAAGGAAAACAAGTATATCATATTATTTTAATGGGCATATACACAATCAATCTCAAAATTTAACCTCTTTTGATATAATTCATTGAGTCATAACCTTTAAAATATTGATTAATTTACTTGCTAAAATCTTTTTTTTTTTGGTTGCCATTTTTAGATGAGGTTTTTGAGCGGCCTGAAAACGAATAGAGTTTCCATCTGTAAAGTATGTTTACTTATTTTACCATATTTTTCATCCTATAAGTCTTTTTTTTTGTTGCATAATTGGTATGCCCTGTGACTTATAGGCTGAAGCAACGTATTTATGGATTTTTTCCCATATTTATAAAACAATTTTTGGCTGAGATATGACTGTTTTCATTTATTCTGACTTAAAATATTGAACACTACCATTTTCAGCTGCTAGATGGCACTCAAGTAGTTTGGCATGCCATTGTATCATGGAATAGGTACAAGTGGCTATTAATGACACAATCGGCTTGCCATAGTATGCCACCTTTATCCAGCTCGCCTGGAGCAACTGTCAAATCAGCTTCATTTTGCTGTGCCGCCCCAGCAAAATGCAGCTAATTTGACCATTGAAGTGCATTTATTATTTATTATTAAGTAAAAGTTCAACTGAGACACACCTTTACTATAAAGTCGAGCAAACAAATAATTGTTTTTAGGTGCTTATCTTGTTAAATTTCGAAGAAACGTGCAGTGACTCGTCCCTCTGCGCGTTCCTACTTCCGCGTATTTGCGTTTGAAATGCAGCTGATTTGTCTGTCAAAGTGCATTTATTAAGCAAAAGTTAGACTGAAACACACTTTAGTTATAACTTCGAGCAAACAAATAATTGTTTTTAAGTTTTAATCTTGTTAAATTTTTGTTAAAGTCCTCCCGTGCGCGCTGCTGCGGCCACCATTTGGCAGCCAATCAATTTTTGGCACAACACCGGCCCATGTTTCCAGGTTCGGCCCACATTTCTGGGTTGTCAGCGGTGACACGTAACAAACGCAACGCGTCAGCGGTAACGCATAATAGATGTGACGTATATGGTGAAGCGACGTATTTATGGATTTTTCCACTTTATTAGACATAGTTGGCTATTTCGGTGCGACGTGTACGGCAGAAAATACAGTTCTCATAATAATTTGGGTTGATATTATTTTAAAGATGGTAGGCTGATTGGTAACTCTAAATTGTCCCTAGGTGTGAGTGAGAGAGTGAATGGTTGTTTGTCTCTATGTGTCCCTGTGATGGACTTGAGACCTATCCAGGGTGTACCCTGCCCCTCGCACAGTGATTGCTGGACATGGGCACCGGCGACCCCCGTGACCCAAAATGGAAGAAGCGGGTAAAGATAATGGATGGATGGATTATTTTAAAGTCTCAGGCATCGAGCATGATAATACAGTTCAAATATGGCCTAAAACCTCCGCCCGTGGTTCAGTTTCTTGACAAGAGGAGCTTAAATGTGATTTTTTTTTCTTTAGAAAAGGCTGTGTTACCAATGGCTGCAGTGTTTACACAAAGTTAAATCAGATTCTGATGTATAAGTTAAAAAATGTCCAACTTTAACTTCAACTCTGCAGTGACATTTAATCACAATCCAGCACTTCTGTCTCATCGTTCCTCCAGCTGGAGTTGTTTGACTCGTTTTGACTTTACTTCCACCTGACTCCACCTGAGAATAGCCTTTGTGTGTCACTTTTATAATGACTGATGGGACGGCTGGCTGTGATGAAGAGCAGACAGCAGCGCTGCGTCTTGTTGGCTTTTATCTACAGTTTAGGCTCTTCGTTCAGGTTTTAATGAAGTCAGGCACACGGTGCAGCTGATATAAAGCACAGGAGATGAACCAGATATGTTTCCTCCTTTTCTACGTCGTGTAGTTTTAATCATGGCAACAATGAACGCCTTCGTAAACTGAAAGTTGTACCTGTTACAGCTTTAAGGCTACATGTTGGTCCTCAGAGCTTTGTCGGTGTTAAAATATTCAGTAAAAGCTTAAAACGATTGTTAGTTTTTTGTATGTCTGTGTGGGGTACCTCATCACTATCTTACCTGCAGTAGATAGCAGTCTGAATGACTTAACTTTGGAGAATCATTAAGGAAATCTTGTGAAATGAGCACCTCAAAACTCTTGAAACAGTTCAAGCAAACACCATTAGATATTTTTACAGCTCTTTATTTTTGCATTTAAGTTTATTTAGCTGTTTTTATTAATTTTCTGGCTGATTTAAGCGTGCAGCATTCTTTAAAGGAATGCATGTTGCTCTGCCTTTTGTATCTGAGTTAAATTAAGAATATGATGTGCTGAAAACTGGAGTCAGACCAATTCCAGATGGATTCCACAGCTAAACAACTCAAAAATGGATATAACTTTGCCAGTTTTACAAATATTGAGCTAAAATTTTGATGTGGTGGTAGCTAAAAGTCATTCACAGCACATAATTTGAGGGCTGACATGTCACATGAGACTGAGATAACATTATGTTCAAGGTTTGACCAAAACAACCACAATTATGTCATTTCTTTACTAACTCCTTGTTTTTCTTCTGTAATCTATTGATTCACAAACTTCGCATTTGTCTTCATTTTTAGTTTTAAACACTTTTTTTAATCCATTTCCAACCCTTTAGAGTGATCGTTTTCAGAGATTCATCACCCATCTTGGTGTTTTAAACTAATCATGCACTAAAGTGAGTTGTTTTTTGATCTGGGCACGGAAGGTAGGAGGAGAAAGATCCCAGAGGTGAACCAGCTCGTTTCTCAGTGCGATCATTTCAAAGCAAACGGCTGAGGTTCACCAACGACGATGGTTACCGGTAGTTGTCCACGATGAAAACAAATGACCGTAATTATATCACAAACATCTGTGTGCAGGAGCGGGGAGAGAGCGTTAAAGAGAAAGCACAGCTCCATTAGCGTAATGCGAAGTGAGGTTTTCACTTGCCGTGCAGAAAGTCGTTAAGTGCTCTCCATCTGTCTTTTGTCGTGGAAAATTTTCACCACGTTCAATTATTTAAATGAAACATCCCGGGTCGAACTCAACTGGCGAGAGCACCTTTTTGACTTTTACTGAGTCGCGGCTTGTTGGATTAACTGGGACTAAATGGGCAGTTAAAATGCGTAAAATATGAGGCACTTATAGTCAGATCTGTTCCTATTTGTCAGCTGCTGGAATCAAACCCTGTTCAGTTTTATTAAGTCATCTTGTATCTTAAATACTTCAAACTCTTCATGATTGACTCAGCCTATGAAGCCAGTAGATTTAAAGCACAATATATTCAAAGAAAACAATGTTTTACACGTCACAGCTGAAGAGAATGCAGATTTATATCTGAGTCTGTTGACTTTCAGATGCTGTCACACATCTGCAAAATGAACCAGTATTGTTGTGCATCGAGCTAAAGGAGTTTATCCACCTTTCAGCTGCATCCCGTAACTTATTAACATTCAGCCGGGGGGGTAAAGGGTCCGCGTGATGGATGGATGTCGCTGAGGGGTCTGACAACTGATTAATGCCTTAATTATCTCCAGCGAGGACCTGCCACTCCTCCCAGAGCTGACAGAGTGAGCTGTGTGTGGCCTGACGAGTAACGTCGTGTTCGGGGCTCGCCCACCGCTATCTGCTCCGCCAGGGTCACATTCATTTTCTTCCTCCAAGAAAAATGAGCACGTTTTCACACCAGAAAGGTGTGTAACATTGATGAGACAGTTGCTTGAGCTGATTTGTGCCACTGCAGGGCTTCAGAAAAACCACTCCTAAAATGAGCCGTGGAGAGTTTTAGGGCCGAGCTCTGATCAGAACCGATCGTACCTGAAACATCTGCTGTGAACAGAAACTAAAGTGTGTTGCAATGAAGAGCTCAGAACGCTGTTTTAAATCCTTATTTGGGTATTAGTTTAGTAATTTTGTGATGCAAACAACAAGCAATGACAAATAGTCACACTTTGAGCGCAAAATCCCCCAAAATGACTATCCAGATCTGAACCCACAACTTATCTGGGCCCAGATCTGTTTTTAAATTTTAATAGAATGAAGATATGTTTTCCCCACATTCCTAGTAATTCCTCTTAGGTGGTGAAGCTTTTCGACAGTTTGCATATACTGTACTCATTTTTGGCAGTGCGGCTTTTCCAGGATTTACAGTAATTCATTTGAGGCAGCGCAGCTTTTCTAAGATTTACGGTAATTTAAGTGGTGCAGCTTTTCTTGCATTTACTAGAATGAATTTTGCACAGCACAGCTTCTCTACAAGTTACGGTAATTTATTTCAGGCAGCATAGCTTATCTAGGGTTTACAGTATTTTATTTTAGGTGGTGAGGTTAACTTGTTTTAGGTGGTTAGGCTTTTCTAGAGTTTACCATAACTCCTGCATCTGTAGATTTGTCTACAATAAATTTGGAAAAGATTCCAAGGCAGAAGTATTAAATAAATAAATAAATCACAAGTTTATGAAATATTTCAGTATATTGCCTAGACAACAAGGTATATTTCCAATATGTGTTTTGTGATTTTATATGGAAAATACTGATTTAAAAGCATGCATGGTGTTACTTTGTAATTTAGCATGAATAAGTGGAAAGACTTTTAATACAATCTAAACTGAATGTCCAAAAGGAGGTGACTTAAATTTTGTTTTAGATTTTTTTGTCAAACAAAAACCATGGCATTATCTGTATTATTTTAGACAAGTTACGATTTTTTGTCATTTTTGCTACAGTTGTTTTTTTAGATAAACAATGGAAATTACAAAAATATACATTGTAAATATTTTGCATAACCATAGTGGTGTCAAAGTCACTCATAATTTGAGGGTGTTGTTAAAGAAAACTAAAACCAAAACATGCTGTAGAGTTTTTTGTTCCTAAAAACTTGGTCGCTCAAAAATTGTCTGGATTATAGTAAAATGAGATTATGTTTTATAAAAATAAAAAAATAGTATTTAAAATGCTGGATGAGACATACTGAAGTTAACTGTGTCTCTTTTTCAGGTGTGTGACTGGTGCAAACACATCCGTCACACAAAGGAGTACCTGGACTTTGGCGCTGGTGAACGAAGGCTGCAGTTCTGCAGTGCCAAATGCCTGAACCAATATAAGATGGACATTTTCTACAAGGAAACCCAGGCTGCCCTGCCCGGAGCTCTGTGTAACCCTGGGCACGGGGTTGGAGGGGAGGGCAAGCCGGAGTGCAGTGGAGGGGTGCAGTTGCTCACTCCTGAATCCTGGGGAACACCTTTAACAGACCTTCGGCGTAAAGCTCCCTCACCTGGGGGGCATTCCAGCAACTCTGCTTTGGCCCCTTCCACTGTTTCTGCCACATCTCCCTCAGATACGGGTGCTGCCTGCTCCCCTTCTTCTACTTCAGCCAAAATCCCCACACCCAGACCCCATGAAAGCCCAACCCTTCCCCCTCCTCCTATTCCTTCTTTGCACCCACCACTCGGGGTTCCTTCTGGTAGCCCCCCTATGGTGATGACTCCTCGAGGACCCATGCCCTTGCCTCTGTTCATGGAGCATCAAATGATGCAACAGATCCGACCACCATTCCTTCGCCCCTCTGCCCACCCAGGAGGACCCAACAGTCCACTGTCAAACCCCATTATCCCTGGCATTGGACCACCCCCTCCCCCAAGGACTCTCGGTCCAGCATCTAGCCCCATGCACAGGCCTCTCCTGTCTCCACATATTCACCCTCAATCCAATCCTAATCCTGGCATGATCCCACCTCACCCAGGTCTCCCCATGCCAGGTCTCCCCCCTTTCCCTCCCATCAACATGATGCACAATGGACCCATTCCTTTGCCTCCAATGATGAACTTCGGCATGCCATCTTTGACCCCGTTGGTACCCCCACCAACTCTTCTGGTACCCTACCCAGTTATAGTACCGTTCCCAGTACCGATACCTATTCCAATCCCAATTCCCTTCAACTCTAAATCATCCAGGGACCAATCAGAGAGCAGTGGATCTGTCCGCAGTGCTCCCGAGTGCTCTGAAGGATCGTCCTCCAGGCCTCATTCTCCAAACTCCTCTGAAAGTGGCAAAGGAGAAAACAAGACAGAATCAGCTGGTGACGAGCAGGTTTCTCCCGCACCTTCAGAAAGAAGTAAAACAGCATTTTTAGACTTGACTGTGAAGTCAGAGGAAAGTTCAGGCAATCCTTGTCAACCCAGAAGACCGACAGATGGTGTAATCGACCTAACTGTGGGCCAAAAGCTAGGCCAACAGCAGCTCATTCAGAGGATGCTACCTGCTGGAGTGCAGGTGAAAGTGGAGGCAGAGGCTGAAAGAAGCCCTCCACCTGCAGCTGGACTGGGGAGGGAAGGATGGGGTGATGGAGGGGATAGGGCTCTCGTCCTGCAAAGACACGCTGCTGAACCAGAAAGAGCCACAGTTCAGCCTTCAAGCAAAGCCGATCATCCAGTGAGCAGGTTAAACTTTACCATAGCACCTAATTCAGTACGGACGCAGCCCCTACCCCCACCCCAGCTCCACGCTAACCCTGCTGCCCCTTGTAATGTAATAGTCAACGGCACTGGATGGCACTCGCTTCTCATTCCTGCATTCGAGTCTTGCCCCGAACAAATAGGAGACTGGGAGGAAGAGGAACAACCATCCAATGGTGATTTGGAACACGAGGCACTGAAAGAAAACAACTGCTCAGTGGGTGAACGCGAGGCGGGAAAAAGGATTTCAGCACAAGCTGAGAAAGTGGACCCTAAAGTGGAGGGGAAGACGGACCCTGACTCCAGCATGGAGGAGGGTGAACACGCCTATGCTTTGCCACTGCTGTCAGCCGGCGGCTGTGTTGTCATCCAGCCTGTGCCAAAGCCCGCCGCCGACAAGACGGCCATATTGTCCTGCTCCATCACAGCGCCGTTATCGTCAACTGGGAGCCCCGAGCTGGAGCCGCCGCTGAAGAGGAGGTGCCTGCGAATCCGCAATCAAAACAAATGAGGTGGGTTTCTGTCTACTTCAGATAAAACAGCCCACCATAACAAACAAACAAAATATAAATTCACCAAACGCATATTTCTATGTTCTCATACATGTTGCTTTGCTATGAATTTCACAATACATCCTTGAGATGATCCAAACCCAAATAGGAAGTCTTGCACCTCGGTGGATTTATTCAGCACATTAATGCTAAATTTAATGATGTACTCCTCGAGGTATTAATTAAATGAAACTGTAATCTTGAGCAATTTAAAGACCAATTCAGTTTGTGGTAACATGAGGCGAGTGCTCTGAATAAGATTAATTAGAGGCGACAAAAGATGGAAATCAAGCTCCGTGCACCGGTGGCACTGCTGAGAGCAGACCGGCAGCTAAAATGAGCAAAAGTGGTGCTGTGCTGTAATGTTCAGACATCTAGTTTTACAATTTGCAGTTTAAGAGCCTTAAAACACTGAAGGGTGCAGAATATTTTTGTTAAAATGGATCTACGTGCTTGAGCATCATCCATCTTTTTTTTTCCCAAAACAACCTTGACTAAGTGTCATTCTCCTCCCTCTCCGTTTCACAGATGGATGCTCTGGCGACCGCAGTGCCATCAGCGACTCACTTGTCTACCCACAACCTCTAAATCCCATCACTCTGCACGCGTTTGCGCAAGTGGATGTTCCTTCCTTGCCTATCGTCCAGTCTACCAGCACCTGGGATCGCCTTTGACGACTGATAAGGATCCAAGAAGACAATGTGTTCTGCATCAAAGCAGAGAGGTCGAGACTCCAGTTGACTCTTTGATGGACTAATTTTATACTGGATGGATGTTTTGGACCTTTTGAACTGGAGACAGTAAATTCCTGCTGCTTTGCTCTTCGTTTAGGACTCTCAGCCCACACTGCCCCTCAGATTTTGTCCATTCTCCCACTTCAACGCAAGCACTTTTTAAAAAAAGAAAAAAAATGTATGGAAAAAAATAAGTGAAGGAGCTTCCAAAGAGAAAATTTTTGGAATCAGCGGTATGCTTTGATACAAGAATGTACGTACAATTTGCTTCAGAATTAATTTCTTTCTTCACTCGCCAGTCTCACACGTTCTGATGAATGGAAATTCAAAGCAAGCACGAGGGTGGTTTATGCAACGAGATTGAAAGGCAGTTTTTAATCAGAGGCTGAAAAATTGCCCTTGAATGCGAAAATCTCTTCGTTCTCTTGAGAAATATTTCTGGACAACTTTCACCAGCAACTAATGGGAGTGTGGGCACAGCCATGCACTCATCTGCTGTTCGACTCTGCTATTTAAGATGCTTTTTTGCTCAAGAAAGAAACAAAAATGTCAGAAATAAAGCTGTAATCATAGAGAAATTCTGAAATGCTGTCAGACGCCAACAGTATTACAATTAGCTGCTGTCTCAGAACATGTCAAGGTTTACTAAAACAACTGGGATAGCAGCATGAAATCCTGCTGGGTACTTGTTCCTGCAGGCTAATATTTAATCTCTTCTATAATTCATGACCTGTAACGTTTCTGGGTTAGTTTAAGACTGACCCTGCTGAATTTAGAGGGGCAGTGGGAGGTTAGAGCATTTATTAATAATTTATCTTGCTGGTCTGACACAAATTATTCCACACACATTTCATATTTGGTGACACTTTATATTAAAGGACATGATTTTTGTTGCATAACAGCTGGTTAGAAACAAATTACAATCTAATTGTTAATTAACTGCTTTTATTAGATTCCAAATTTAGCCAAATAGCTAATGATCTGCTAAAGACCATGGTCTAATTATTCACTTTGGTTACATTTTGATTAACAGTTTTAAGTAATGATAATTAGTAATTAGTCTCAGATTTATTGCTCAATATTAAAAAATGTAGCTGTCCATTAACTAATTATGACTTTTTCATTAGCTATTTAACAAAAGTTAATTATTAGCTAACACCTTACTAACTGTTAGTCTGTCTTTCATTTCAAACTGAACCTTAAATAATCATTAATTAGTCAATGTGACTGAATAATTAATCATTACTTTAGCTGTTTAACAAAACCTGAGCAAAACCCATCGTTAACTATTTGCCATAATCATCTTGTTTTAAACTTAGTGTTAATAGTAATTAATGTCTTTCAAACTGATAACTATTTATTCAGAACTTACTTATTATCTATTTACCAATGTATAATTGAGAGTTTATAACGAGTAACTGACCAGTGGTTAATTATTGCAAATCATTAGCTGTTTGACAAATTTGAACCAGACATTTATTATTAGCTAATGCTAATTAGCCTCTGACTTTTTCTTGTGGTTTCATACTGAGCATTAATGTAAACACTACCAGTTTTTTACCTGTTTACAAAACATGAATAAGAGTTTATGATAGGTGATAACTAACCAATAAAACATCGCAATCTATTTATTGTCTATTTAACTAAATCTGGCCTGGAAATCTACATTGGCTATTTTAACAAGTTCCAAACTGGGTTCCCCTCTTTTTTTCCAATTGAAACCATGATAAATCCTTCCCAATTTGTAATTTATTTAACAAAATAAGATCAAGAGTTCATCATTACTTGACTAGTGACCAGTTTCTGAATAATTTATTTCCTGCGTACCTAAAGACATTTTATGACCCTTGTTATAAAGTGTTACCTTTTGTGTTTACATTTACCTTTACTTCACAGCTGTTTAATGTTTCTGACAGTTCTTATTTGTTTAAACCCAATTTATTGAGCCCGTGTCGTCTTTGTTGGCCCTTCCCAGAACCACCACCTGTCCGGTTTAACCCTGATCCAGTTACTGTGAGCTGTGACCCAGTCAAACCAAGCCAGCATTTAGTTTACGCTCTAATGAAGGGGGTATTACATGCCAAAGGCCTCTAGTGTTGTAAGTACAAACACGCCACGTGGCTGAAGATTGGTCCAGAAAATTATAGTTGCCAAAATGAAATGCACTTAAAACCATAGCAGATACAGGAGAACTTGTTCAAAACAATATTACTGCTAAGAAACTATTTTTATTCAGGACACAAGAACAAAAGGAGATGATGCAAAGGTGTGTAACTTTGCAATCCAGCTTTCAGTCTTGAGTTATTTGCCTGATGAAGCTCCAACATATATTTATTTATACATCTAATCGCACATGACAAGCATGAATATTTACATTGCACTCAGTAAAAGTAACTGCGCTCCTTTCTGTGGCTCAGCTGAGATTTCCCAGTGTTGACTCAGAATAAGCTGCGTGTAACACTAGATGGTGGCTGTTAGGCGTTTTTCGGTAAAGCCGGGGCTCAGCGTCTGCAGGCAAAAACAAGCCGAAATGCGACTTTTAAGCTACGCATTTCTCCTTTTTAGTAAAAGTATTACTTTCTGTAGACACAGAATTGAAAAAAACTAAGAAAACATTATTGAGCTGCAGCCTATTTTTATACCCAGAGTGTGAAACACGGCTATTCTGTAAAATTCATTTGAGATTTCGCATTTTCTTTTGTTGATAGCAAAACACAAAAAAGTGGCAAATGTTTGTTGTGCTATCCTCACAGCAGAATATTTTGTTTATTACAAATAATACAGCCCCTTTGGTTGTAAAGGTTTATGTTGAGGCCACAACATTTAGAGAAATTAACTTTTTTTGGCCAAAACTATGAGCTAAATGCTGGCTAGCTTAGCTTAGCAGACTGGAAACAGTTCCCCGGAAGAAAGAAGGCTGTTTCCTGGCACCAGTTTTAAACTGGGACTGATATGAGCCTCTCTATTTCTGTAAGAAACTTATTTAATAGAATAATTCAGTGTTGATTTGTTTCTTTTTAACCTTCAGAGATTTTTAGCTTTGATGGATTTACCTTGAATTTTCTTAAGCTTGTTCATCTCCCTGAATAAACCTAAACTCACGTAGACTAACTCGCCAAGCTTCGCCTGTTTTTAGTGACATTAAAAGCGCTGTAATGCCCACGCTTGAGCCAGATTTTAAAGGAAAGACAACAGAATTCATTTTTAAGCTAGCGCCTAAACTTGTGACAAATCAGCATTCCTCCATTTTGGTGTTAAACTGCAGGCCTAGTCGACAGCCTGGATTATGCAATTAAAAGTAAAAGGGGTCCACATAAATACATCAAAATATGACTGAATAAGACGTCATAACTTTTCAAAAATAACAGAGAAGCTGCCTTAACTCTTGCTCGTATAATCTCCAGTTAAGACGACGATGCTCGCTTGTAAAGATGATGCTCCCCACTTTGTACAAAATGAAATTATACCAGAATCAACAACAACTTTGTTATCTTGCTAGTGTCAATGTATAGATGATCAGCTTTTTCTGTAACTTGTATGAAATGTCATTTTTGCTAAGAAAAATAGAAAATCCTGCAATCCCCTCTGTTCCCTAACATGCGATCTGTTTGAGCTCATGGTGGACTGTTCAATGTTTTTGTGTACATTTTAAAGCGTTATTTATTGTCAAGTTTTGAGTTTGTTAAAAATAATGGGAAAAGTGAAGGTGGGAATGGTAAACGCAAGGTGAAAGTGAATTTTTTTTTTTTTTTTTTTTTTTAAATAATGAAAGTGGAGGAAAACAGAGGACTTTTCATTATGATGTTGTACAATGTACATAACATGTGGCCAAAGTTGCTTTTTTAAAAAGGAAAATCAGTTTTTGTGTTGTAACGGTTCTTGTTTTATTCAGTGAATTGCTCATGAAGACAAATAAATAAGAGGCACACACACACACCTCTGTTTCAGACATTTCTCTAAAGGTGCAGACATGCTTTTTTTAAATTTAGCATTAGAAAACATACTTTCGTTTTGATTCTATAAGGAGATTTTTTTTCAATATTTTTAGCACAAACCAAACAGAATTAGCTGCATGTGTGTTTAAAAGTTGCCATAATGCTTTGCAATAAAAATTAAAAAAAAGTTTAAAATCACTATGAACCTCAACCATGTCCAACTCGTCCACTTACATCTATTATTTCTCCCCTGCTGACAATGCAAAGACACTTAAAAACTCAGTTTACACACATTTAATTACTTATCATGTATCCTTTTTACACTTTAAATTTATTTAGGACAAATAAAAAATAAAAAAAGCAACCAAGTTTGGAAAAAAAAAACACCATATGAATATAATATATAATAATATTGTTACTGTTTAATTTTAAAAAAAGTTAATTATTTTAAATATTTCAAAAATGCTAATTCAGTATTTGCTTATTTAATCATGGCTGTTTAATTTGAATGTTTATGATTAATATTAGAATAAATAAGTGGTAAATTAAGTTGATGTTCAGTGACAGTTTTTTTTAGTAGCATTCAACAAAAATAAATGGTTGTCAAAAGAAACATGAAATCAAATTTGTTTAACCTAAGTGTATTACGAAATGTAAAATATGATTTTAGAATAACAGTATAAATAGTCTCAACTGTGTACTGAGCATTATTTGGCCTCTATCCCCATCTAGTGGTGGAAGACTCAACTGCAGCAAATTGCAGTTTACGCAGTAAAATTATTTTTGACCAAAAAAAAAAAAAAACACAAATTAAAATATGAAATTTGTTGTCTTAATGTTTAATGTTGCCGGATGGACACTGTGAGGCGTTTATAACTTTTTTTTAGAGTAGTAGTAGCGTTTAAAATACAGCCGAGTTAGTGGCGGGCAAGACAGAGGGCATTATGGGTAATGGAGTGCTTTAGCGTTGACGTCCGGGGGTGGAGAGACTTTTCAGCCTCCGCTCTGTTTCAGTGTAGATGTGAGTGAACTGTGAAGCAGGAGTTGTTCTCGGGACTTTTTTCTCCTCCTGTCTCTCATCCCTGCTAAAAGAATCGAGGAAGACCGACGCGGAAAATGCGAGCAGGAATGAAGTCTGAAGGAGAGCGTTGGTTCGTTAAAAATTCAGCGCGGGAGAGCCGATGACTTGTGACAGCGACGACGTTAAAAAAATAAAAACTCTTAACGGGCTTCAGACGCTGTTGAATGGGGTGAAACGAGGCGAACGGAGGATTTCCAAACAGCCGAAACCCTGAGGGGGAAAAAGAAGGGGAGGAGAAGAAAACGCCCTGTTGCTGCTGCTGTCTGAAAAAAATCTAACTTTCTCTGCCGAGTTGGTAAAAAAAAAAATGCATATTTTACTAAACAGGAGGCGAATAATAACCGCAGCGACCTCCGTATGAACTTAAAACTAGCCTGCTAGCTAAGTAGCTAGTTTGTGGAGTTTCTTTTTTGCCTCCTCTTGGGAATATTTCCCCCTCATCGTGCTTTTCCCGTTTTTTGGAAGCGATTTGGGTGGGCTGAGAG